GTAGGTTAACAATGAATTGTTTAATTATCCGCCCAAAATAAGCTCCCCTCCCCCAAGTGAACGTATGTTCCCCAGTCTTCCCAGCAGTCATCTTTCAAATGACATCACTCACCTTTCTCAGGCTCTTCTGGCAAATTTTCAATCACATTTTTGTCTATAAAGGGGATCCTGGGCCATAATTACACAATCCCACAATTTCTTGGCCCACACAGACCCCTCTTTTCAAAAGAATCTGTAGGGGGGACTTTTTAAGCGCCTAGCAGAGAATTGTCCTTGAATTGGAACACTGCACCCTGTAGGTGTCAAGGAAGTATTTTCGTCATCTGAGTAGTACGCAGTACTTTGTAACTCAAAGTAAAGATAGAGATGGTAACTCAAACAATTATCAGTTTATCAGTGTTGGTTTCACGAGGACGAGTTCGCCGTTCTCTTGAACGCATTAAGTTTGGAGTTATACAAAAGAGTTCGACACTACGGCCACGGAAAACACACAAACGTTTGCCGCCTCTAATGATACAATACGGCTGATGGTATAATAAGTCAGTAGAGGGCGGTGTTATTAATTTCCCGACTGTCCTTTAGGCTACTCGAAGGCCGCTGCAAGTCCAGTCGACTTTTCTTGGGCAGCCGATTGCTTTTATAAATGGCGCCGCAGTAATATATAGATTAAAAGAAAAAGGGGAAAGCAGTTACAACATTTCTTACGGTAACTGTAAGGTTTGCCTTGCTATCCAATTTAAATTTTCACTTTGTTGTTTCTCAGTACATTTTGGCGCCCTTTCCGTTGTTATGCCGATGCATGATTTGCATATTCTTGAGCAAAAGTGTGATTCATTTCAGGATGACACCACTATTTACAGCCACTACAGCGCAAAATGCGCGAAACTTTTTTTGGCTGCATTAAATTTTTTACTTTGTGATTTTGTCACATTATGTTGGGCTATTAAACTTGTAAACTTTTTTCACAAAGTTTTGATTCAACATTTAGAGTTTACAAATTAACAGAAAAAAGCTATAAAAGAATTGTCTGGCTGAAATGCACACCAATATAACAAAAAAGCCAAAGGCGTGGAAATTGTAATTTTGTCACTCTGGTCTTGCTTTACTGCCAGGAAACGTTAGTAACTACACCTTTATCAGCGTTGCTAGGTTAGTAACTACACCTTTATCAGCGTTGCTAGGGCTGATGTACTGTTCAGAAGAATGATAATCGCTTCGCTGACACCAAAGGGTATACGGTTTGGGGAATTACACTGCGTGAATGAAATCACTTGGAAACAACGTAGGTTGTCTTTGGATACATTTTGATATCATCGCTGGAGACTAAGACAATTGCTGTTACTTTTTTGAAAGGTTGGGAGACTGCAGCGGCGTAGCTGGGGGGGGGCACGTGTCCCCCTACAAATTTCCGGTTTCCCCGGGTGCCCCCCCCCGACAAAAACGAATGAATGGATACTGAACAAGGCTAACAAAAACTTACCCCCAAAAACACACTACTGAAAGCTGGTGCCCCTCAAGATGCTGGTGCCCCCTCCCCCAAGATGCTGATGCCCTCCTTTGTGCCCCCACCAGTACAGTCCTACCTACGCCACTGCTGGGAGTCTACTAGGAAGTTTGTGAAAGTTTAACAAAGGTATGTTCAGACGTGGCAGTTAAATAAAGTTCAATAAAACAGGCAAAGATGTGACATAATTAACAAGTAATTGACATCAAGTAAACAAATAAAATGGATTGTGAGAATTTGGCCAAACGATTTGAACTGAATCCCTTGCGACAGCATTAATTTCCCCTGATCGACAAACTAACTGATTTTCCGGATGGAAGTGTTTTTTCTTGAAATGCAGAAAAAACCACCGGTGATGATGCATCTGCATTATTTTTAATATTTTGTCCTCAGTGGATACACGATTTGTCACACACTCTTGAGGGAATTGGTGAGGGTAGAGCAGTCCTTTCGGCATGTAATCTTGCCAGGCTCAATCAATTCTAATAATCCAGAGATCGTTTTAATAGACGCTGTGAGGGATCTTACATCTTGTCAAAGTTCCAAACTCCACGTAGGCTGGAGTCGATTCCTCCCATGCAGCGCGAAATTGTGAAAGGGGCTGCGCAAAGACCAAAGTTCACAAAGAGGACAACTAGTGCAGATCCAGTGGCGTATCATTGTTTGGGTCCGGAACTAAAAATAGGGATTTTTCTGAAACGGTCAACCGCAATGTTTTTTGTTTCAAAAATAAAACAAAACCAAAAACCTCCCCCGATGGACGATGCTAATGCATCTTGTCCTTTGACAAAAACGGGTACATGTCCCCTGGGGCTGTGCTTCTCATGAATACGGCCGTGTAAGGGACTACAAGGCCCCGGACTGCGCGCCGTACCATTTCCTGCTGTAATACCAGTGCCCTTTATTTATGCTTCACAGACGTTCGCCTGCGAATTGGTGAGTGGGCGGTGATGTCTGTCATTGCTCTATAGACAAGAAGTTTGCTCTTGAAAGTTCAGAAGTAACCGCGGGGGATTCTCTGTTGAGACCTGGCCTCATAATGCACATGACTCACTCGTTAAATAAGACGTTTACTTTTAAATAAGGAGTTCAGTGAGCCCGCTTTACATGCACACGTGGATGACGTATCATTGGACAAGTAAATTTGTTTACGTTTAGGGCTAAGCTTTCGACGAAGGAATTATCCTCTCAGCTTATACTGAAAAAAAAACCCGACATATTGGCTTCCCTGCTATATGAACACGTTATTTTCATTCAAACTTCGTTCAGCGGATCAATATAGTACATTTAATTGTGCCTGATAAAGTTAGTCATTTGCCATACAATTTCAACCACAGTTCGATCAAATTCAAACTATGAGCACTCTTTCTGTAAGAGGCGTTCGATTTCGTCTTTTGCCCTGCGATTTAACGATGCCAGTTTGTTTATTAAAACCCTCAAGAAGGGACATAGGGGTCGCAATTCAAGATATTATTCCGGCACGTTTTTTTCTTCTCCATGTAATTCTTAAATGTCTAATTTGTTTCTTTCGAATGAACTTTCTTGAAAATATCCTGGAAATAAACTCATTCTTGATGCACACAAAAGCAGAAGGTGGAAAGAATGAATGGGTCTTTGAAATGTTTGATGCATTGTCATGTAATTTTTTTTTCACTCGTTTCAATTTTGTTTGAAATCTAGGAGAACTTTGCGTTTTGAGAGTCCTGTTGATATTTGCCGTTTCGGTGTGTTTCCACTGCTGAATTGGTCTTGAAAATAAAAAGAAATCCTAAATAAAGTAGCAGAATAATTTCGTTTGAAAAAAATGTATATAAAGTGATTGATACATGAAGAATTCGATCCACGAACGCTGCCATTCCGCAACCGCATGGACGAATCATTTCTTTTTAGTAACGAAGTTTCTCTTATCAAATGTGGTGACCGAACCTTGAAACTAAATGGTAAGGACTACTCTGTTCTTCCAATAACACGTGAAATTCTTTATAGAAGAAAACTTAATATTTGAATTGTGAAATGGGATGAAAAACGTTTGAAAGAAGCCGTAAAATGTCAAGATGGGAATACTAGTAACCGTACAAGGACCGGTCACTCCATGAAAGTGCACCCTTTTGCGACACATTACAGACAGAATTGTTATGCGTTGAACTTTGTCATATTTTAATGGAAACAAATGAAAGCCACTTGTCAGTAACAAACCAATTATTTTGTGAAGTTCTAAAAATAATGACGCAATCATCCCGGAGGTTACTGAAGAGGCAAATTTCGAGGTGACCAGGTGGCTCTTTAATTTACTGCGAATTGATTTAATACACGTAAAATAGAGAAGTTATCTTGTACAAAAATAAGAGCGACGCAATTGAAGATTAAATTGTAGACGTTCGGTGCTACCCTTATAAGGAGCACCGCGTAAAACAGCACGTTCGTAATAAAAATTAACTTTACTAAAAAGTAAAAATCGCTATTTCTGCATATACAATATCCGCCTGTAGAGGGCAGTATTATTACACCAGGGTCTGAGTATACTCGGATTCCGATTTTGGAAACAAAATTTAGCTGTTCCATAAGTGTAAAGTATTGTACTATTGTATACTAACTGTTCGTGTGAGCTGGCATATGTACCTGCCACTTTAGCTCCCACAGCAATGATCACTTATGTCGCAACCCTCTCTATAAACGGCTCTAACTAGACCTAAATATTTTCCAACCGTCCTTTGTACTTGGAGGTTTCTCTAGTCCCTCCCTTCTACCCTGCATGATATTTGGAAGGGTATCTCTTTCATATTCTTATCCAAGCATGTGCATTCAGTGCGCGCGTGTCTACGCACATGGAATATTGACTCGTGCTATTGTTCAAATGAAGTCTATTCAAATGAGTGCTCGAGCTCGATCCTATGCGTCTTGAGTCATTTGGGGTGCGTTCCAGTGAGCTACTCCTGTTAACGCAAGTATACTCCTCGAACGGTTGGAGTGCGACCCCGGATTACGTAAGCGAGAGTGCTCCCGCTAACTGCAGGCACCTGCTCGTGTAAACAGGAGTAACCGCGCGAACGCACCCTTGTAATTTTCTCTTCACCATTCATACGTTCATTTGCATTTTTATAATAATACGGCTTTGTCCATTCCATTCACGAGCGAAAAGGTGACTCATTTCAGGAAGAAACAAGATCAACCTTACAGCCAATTCAATGTCAACATTGGATGGAATTTGACATATAGTTTTCTTGATTCACGAATTTCAAATATTTCGGAAAAAAGATTCTGGGTTAAAGATTTGAACAGAAATCCTAAAATGAAGAGTCTTCCTGAAAAGGCATCAGGGCAACAGCGTCCTTATTTATCCGAAAAAGCACGAAAAATGATGTTTAAAGTGCACGTAACATACATGTATAGGGCGAACCACCTTTCAATACATTAAGCCCCAAAAGGGACGTAATTATAAACATATCTGTCAAAGAAGAGAAGTTTAAAGTTGCACAAAAAATTTGCTTGTAAACAGATTCCTCTCTAAGACCCATTAATTTCGCTTTAAACTTAAGAAATGTTATCGCCGGATATTTCAAGAAAAAGAGTATTTTCGCTGGTCGAATTAGAGAACCTGACTTTGTAACCGCTATTTGTTTGGTTTGATGGCTTGACTGCGAGAAATCGTTGCCAACTGCAAGAACTGGCCGTGCCGTCCACGTAAGGGCTGTAACGTTCGCCGGAACGCCCGGTGATCTGACACCAGATGGTGCGGTTGTGCGAATCGAACCTTGTTAATGGCTGTAGAGGAAAAAAAACGATAGGACTAAGGGTTTGTTGGAAACAAACAATGTCAACATTGGAGACTGAAACAATGGAGATTTTGAGACGCCCGGTGGCGGCAGACACATCGGTACTTTCGCTCGTCGCCTAGCATCCGCACATGACGCCGGGAAGGGCCAATCGCTTTTGAGCTCTCATTGGCTAAATTTTTACGACCTGTGACCGTAATGTCGTTAATTCCCTTGTAAGATTCGGGTAAATCATTTTATCATTAGATTTTGGTAATTGTTACGTAAATTAGTTGCGGATTGGGATGTTATCACCACACTTCAACCACTTTTGCTCTGTACTTGCAGCTCTCGGTGCTTTGTGCGTCTAAAACAGTGACCTCGTATGACGTATTTCCTTCACAAAAATCTGTGAAACAGATTAGCCCTTCCCAGCGCCCTTTGTTGGCGCTGGGTGACGAGCAAAATCGTTACTTTGCTTTTTGGTCACAGACATCATAGTTATGATCTCTATTTTTTGGTTGATGGGAGCATGCACGTGTAGTTCTAGGCATGCGCGTTAGTTCTGAGCACGAGCACAACCGTGGAAACGGTTAGTCTGGTTCCCTGCCCAAAGATTCCCTGACGACTCTTGACAAAAAATCTTAGGTCAGGCATCACCCGCGGATTTACATAGATATGACTCAAGGGTCAGGGGTCAGAAGTTAAGAGCCCGGATGTTTTCGATTTCATCAGTGGCAACATCTCAAAATTGAGGCTTTTCCCATATCTGGTGAGCAATATTGCAAGTGTATCCCCACTGAGCGCATGTTTCAGGCACAAAGCCTGCATTGGTCGAAGTTATATTCTGCATTTCGCCTGGCATTTCGGCCAAGGCGACCTTCGATTTCAGTGTATAGAGTCAAATATTGTAGGATCAACAGCTGCTATTAGGATACGGGAATTTACGTTCAACAGCTAGGCTACAGCCGCCCAACCCGGCCGGGAATAGCCGAACATCAACGGTACCATCCGAACATTCCGAATATAGACGGGACGCCTTCGGAATATTTCGGCTATTTCCGGAAAACTGGAGGAATTCCTCCAATCTTGGTCATAGGCCTACCGGACCCCTGATTCGTAGAGTAGTCAGAATCATCGGGTCTGGTATCCAGACTAGGAAACGGTTTGTCTGCCGCCACCATGTGTCTCAAAGTCTCTCATCGTTTTTGTCTTTTGAAGGGTTAAATTGGGAGTTTTAAAAAGAAACTCATGAAAGGTAAAGAATTTATGGACAGTTCAAATTTGAAAAGATGTATGAACTCTTTGGCCTACGTGAACAAGAAAAAAATGAATTCTTGACAGTTGGTCAAACGATTTCATTAGATTTACTTGCGACAGTACCAACTTCCACCAAATTAACAAAACCGAGTTTGTTGAGCGGAAGTGTTTCTACAGAAATGCAGAAAGGGAATGTTGAAGCTTCGAACGAAAAGTTCAAGAACTTGAAATGGAAAACTGCCCCCCCCCAAAAAAAGAACAGAAGACCCCGCTCTTACTGTAGGGGAGTAGAAGCTGCTTGGTTTCCGGCCGTTGCTACTGAGTGCCAAATACAAATAGTCGCCGAAACGTATACGGACGAGGTCCGGTCTGTCAGCAGGGATAACTTCCATAGAACTCACGACCGTACCTGCATAATCCAATCAAATATGACAAATTACTTGAAATTAAAGTTAGAAAATAGGTTCAGAATTTAGCACTGCAATTTCAGAAAAAAATGAGTTTGATCGATTTTATTTTATTGCTTCAACCGTACCATAATTGGATGTTTTGTTATTCCCCCCAAAAATAAAATAATTCGGAATGGAAAAATTACAAATTAGATAAAACAGAAAAAAAGACGTTCTTGTTTTTCACGACCGTAATAAATTTAAGATGTAATACAAAACTTTGAACTTGATTATGTTTAAGGATTAAACGAGAACCACCGCATCCATGACAAGAGAGACACACCACATTATTCATGATGTCGGGGTTAGATTTTAGTGGTCTGGACTTCCTTCCATGTATCAACGCACAAGACATCTTGTAGACATTTTACTATTGGATGACACGGAGTCAGGCATTTTATGCATGAGCATGATAATGATGTATACCACTAAAACATCGATTAATACTTTTTTTTCGAAAGTACCTGCTCATTAAGTCACAGATGTTTGCTTCGTATACAGGAAATTGTTTTCAAAGAAAAACAAATTGAATTTCCAAACCCATACTGTCCTTAAATATCTGTCTACAAGTGCACTAGTCACTCTAGGCTGAAAGAGGAACGTGATTGGTCAGTGTGTAATAATTAAGCTTTAAATCGTGTTCTGGTTTGTCAGTTTCAGCTCAGTGACATTCACTATCTTATTCCATTAAGACAGCAATTTGAAATTTTCTCTTTATTTTTCTAGTATGCTTTAAATTTAGACTTTTACGTTTCTCTGTATTCCAAGTCTTTCGTGCGAAAAGATGCTGGCTTTATATCGATTATAATGCAGTGGAAACACATTAGTATTCAGCGGATTCATTGCTGGCGTGCAGGTGTGCATAAAAATCCATTGCCTGTTTATCATCCAATCTCGAAAACGTTTATTTTCCTTAAATAAGCTGGTCTTATAAGGGAGGTAAAGGGGGAAGATTCTTGATACATGTGGTAATTTGTATAAAATGGAAAGAAATTTCTGAACTGTCTGCCTCCGGATTCATTTGTCGTGATTCTTTCGTAGTTTCTACGATTGTCTCTTCCAGTGCAGAGAAAAACCTTCTTCGTTAGTCCCCCGAAATCGCCCTTGTCTCATTTTTCAAAAACAAGAAAACCTTTTTCTCCTTTTCGAGGAGAGGAACAGCCTCTGAGCACCCCCCCCCTCAAAATAATGCGCCATGACAAATGTATGCTCGAATGGCAGTGATCATGAATGTTGGGAGAGCGAATGCAATCGGCAAAATATGACAATGGGAATAGTTCAACGAAGGTCGTTTCTGTGGGCCTTCATTGTGCGTGTACATTGGTATAAAGAAGTGTTGGCAATACATGAAGTCCGCCCACAAACTTTATTGAAATTATCGCTGATGAGAACATTAAATTTTGTTAAGTTACCCGGGTTACTTCGTCTACACAAACGTTTGAAGTAAGGTATGTCGTCCAAAATTCCATATTGTCCCAAATGACTTCCAAAGATATAGGCCTGTACAGTGCGCTTCACAGCTAGTAAATCGGTGAGATGCCATGACTTTTGTTTGACAGATCTGTTCTTCTCTGCTTACGAAATGAGCTTACCATCCGCAGTTCCGATGGCCACAGCTTCAACAGACATCTGGTTCAAAGCAAGTTTCACGCTATGTTTGCTGTTGATGAGGTACTTGTTGTCACTGCTGGATTGTCTGTAGTGCCGCGTTAAGGGGGAGGTAGATCCGACGTCTGCTCTGACTGAAGACGGCAAGATGTTCTCTGCACTGGATATCATGGGCTGAACTTGGGTGGAGTTGGCCGGCAAGGAGGTCATCGCCGAAGAGATGTCTGCGACAGAGATCGACCAGTCATAGGGGAAGCAGAAGCAACGCTCGGCTAAACACAATGCTGCCAAGAAGTGAGCAAGCATCTCGCGGAAAATTACCATCTTGAAAAACTTGAGGCTGTCCGTTGCACAAGAAGGAGCGTTGCAAGAGGACCACGGTCACCAGGCTAAGAAGAATTTCCCTTCTTTCTGCTGCGTGGTGGTGGAGCGACAGCGGCTTTTATAAAGTTTGCCGGAATTCTATGAAATAAAGGGTCTGAGTACCTGTCGGTATTTCATCTTCCCGTATGCATAATAAATGTTTTCAGTTTATTGTATTTTGGACAAAGGAATCCACGAAAAAAATGCAAAAACGCAGTGAACTGTTTTCGTAACTTCTAAGTTGTCCATGAGATATATTACATGCACTGAAATTTCACGCTAAAGAGCAAATATTTCGACATCGACGGATGCATTTTCATCCCGGAATTTCCCGTCCAAAGGTCGGATCCGCCCCCTTCATAGAGTCCGAAATTTTGGCGATGAGTCGTGACAAAATCTTCAATGGTAACCTGTTTCACTAAAGATTAAAGGGAGTGTGAGTCTACTCTGTCAACCACGTTCACCCACGCGTGGGCGCACGACGTATGCTACACGCAACCACCACGGAACGGAGCTCTCATCAAGTTAGACTTGAGTTCTGATCCCCAGCAATGTACGAGAATCTATTAGTGTTCAATGCCGCTTCAGATTGGCCCCTTGCAGTGGCGTAAGTTTGGGCTGGAAAGTGGGCGATGGGGATGGTGAGGAGGGGGGGTTGACTTGACCGGCAATGGAAACCTGAAAAGCGGGGGGGGGGGTGACTTGACCGGCAATGGAAATCTGAAAAGCGCGGGGAGGGGTCGACTTGACCGGCAATGGAAATCTGAAAAGCGGGGGGGTGACACCATAACATGACACTGTTCGTGATACAGATACATAGATGTATAATGTTGCAGATTCCTGATTTAGTGTTGTTGGAAGTCCAAAAACCTCTCCACACTCAGTCAAATACCTTTTTTTTCACGTCACGATAAAGTTGGGGGGGGCGTAGGATCAACCCCTCACTATCACCCAATGCAATCAATTAATAGACAGTAGTAAAAGGTAACACAAGAACCAGTGTAAGAGTTATTTTGTTTCAGAGAAGATGGGCGGATAACAGCTAGGTTGTCATAGTGATATTAACATGCTTTTCATAATTTGGATAATTTTTCAACATTTCAACTATACATCCATTCGATAAGTATGAGGCTAATATTATGTTTTAAGGGACCCTTTCAGCCAAAATGTTCTTTTAATCGAATTCAAGCTTTTCAAGTCACGCTAGGATTCAGCGTGGCATTCATTTTCGTTGTCTTTTTGTCATTCTGTTCTGTCATAGCCACTCAAGTCTCTACTTTCACCCGCCGTGTATGAGTTCAATGTTTTCCAACTTCTCGTGCATTTGAATTAAAATTCGTCGACATTTTTGCAGTATCAATCCGAATACACTCCAATCTGAGGTCAGATTCGGATCGGATCTTTCTCACCGAGCCAACTAAGTGCCTGTTGCGAGATAGCACTTACTATAATAAAAACAAATAAATACTTATAATAAATACCAATCTAGGATTTTTATAGCCTGGGTTGGTATTATGTACAAGCCCTCTGTACTTTGCCCTCAAATTGAATGTCTCCCTCAAGGTCTCGTGTAATATCGGCTTCTAAATGTCGCTTTCAACAGTTCTAATCTGTTGGAGTCTATACTTTGCGCCCCAGGCTACGTGTGCTGGTTAAGCGATGATTCTTGAAAGTCATGTGTTCGAATTATCGTAGTCGTACGTGTGTGGGTAATCAGTGCCAGGCGTGGCTTTCGTCGAAATCGTCGAGATGGTAAATTCCGCCATTATTTCCTTCGTTGTGGTTTTTCCCTGAGGAGTATGGGGGGCGTCGCCCCGTACCGTACAAACTTGAAAGTTACTAAGACCAGGCCGATCCTAGATATTCATATAAGTGCGATGTCAGTATGACGTAATCATGCATGTGTCAAATTACAAGCCACCGTAGTTTAAAAAAAGATCCACTTCTCTCAGCAGTTTAGCACGCACTGATACCGGATTTCAGTTCGTATTTTGGGATCTGATAAATTTTGAGTTGGTCAGCAACTGTGAGATGCAAAGTCGCTTGACCTGTGCTATTCCGAGGTCAATGAAAGGTCAAAGATACATTTGAAATGCTTAAAACAACCCCTCAAATCAATACATTGGTCGATATCTTTAAAAAAGTTTAGAATATTAACGTGAAACTTCGTGCTAACGGAAGCCTTGATGTCAAGATGTGCTTGCTTTCGTGACATCGCAATTTCCTCATCAGGTATTAAATTAAGACTCCTCTATTTTCTTAAATAAATTATAAGCACCAGAATTTTATTAAAGGTTCCCTTAGGCCCCCCCACCAGGATACACAGCAAATATTTCTGCTAATGTCCTGTGGCAACCCAATTCATTTTACCAGTTACTCCTATGAATATTGAAACAGGTGCATGAGTAATGTATGTTTCAACCTTGTTGACCTGCGTGAAAGTGCAAAATATCTAATCCATACAGCCACTCCTTTCCTGTATCCAATCCTGTAAACAATTCGTAATCTGGAAAACTGAACGGATCCGGAACCTGTCTAAATGCGCCTTTGATTGGCTGCGTTGCGTACGCGATGCGTTCATGCGTTTCACTTTTACGGACACAAAAATCGACTCCATGAACATAGCCCATGTGCAAGGCTCCTGTCGCTTGCTCCAAGCTAAACAGATAATCGGAAAAAAGACCCATTAAGACCTGAAAAACAACCGTTGAGTTTCGCTCGTCCCCTTCCCCGCCCTTACAACACTACTTTGGAGAATTTTGAGAAGCAAGTTAAGTGTGTCATTAGAGCGGCAGGCTCGCAAATGATTACTTGATGTACTGCTTGTGCATGCATGTTCAGTGCGCACGCCTCGCGCGCATGCGGCTCTCGCCCTCAAAGTTTATGCAAAGATTATCAACAAAACACACACGTACGTCGTGTAACGTGAAATGGCTGACCTTTTCAGAGCCTCATGTACTCAGTTATGCTTTATGTACCCGAAATTCCTCGGAGAATATAGAGCGACATTTTGTTTAATTAATGCTTGAGCCATTTCCCTCCTTTGAAAAGTAAAAGACTCCAATAAATCCAAGCCCTCCCTTGTCGAACAAAATCTGACTTCCTATGAGTGAAATTCCTGGATTTTCTTAATTGATAAATTTGGTTTGTAAATACAATTGAAACACATTAACACATTACAACGTCCTGTATGGCTTTTTCTGGGAGGAAAATGACCTTTTCGAATTGTGAAATGTCAGGGAGAATTGTGCCTTCTGAGGAAAATAAAGCATGAAATCTGGTACACAGTTACAAACACGCACTAAGAGAGATTTATGGCATAAGACCATCGGAGATTTCTTCTACGATAACAGTGGCAGCCATTTTGAATAACCATCTCATCAGGGCTGGGAGGGGATTAAGTACAACCCTCCCCCAGAACTGATCGCAAGGGGTATTTTTAGTTTAATCCTGAGCAGCCCTATACGGGAAAACAAGAAGTCAACAGAAAAAAATTAGGGATGTAGGCCTACATGTGCTCTCTATTTAGGCCGCTTTTTTAAATCCCATCTTAGTGCAAGTATTTCCTACTAGCGGGGGGGGGGCAGTCAGTTGGCCATATGACTAAAACTCATTGAGTCTTATCAGAAATTTGACCTAAGCCAATTAAATGTTCACAGAATATATCTTTCAGAAAATGTCCTTGGTTACCATGACAATCAACTATAGTGGGGACACAGCGCTAATCAACTTCGTTTACATAATTTATACAAATCTCCTCCCCCACTGTTTAAAGTAGGGGATATTATGTCACTTCGTCACTTTTTCAAGAGCCACACGTGGGTTTTGAAGAAAATTGGCTTTCGAGAAATCGCCAGAGCCAGAAGCTTCTTCTATTTCAAAACTGCAAAATTACCAACACGGAACAAGTTTATGCAGTAAAAAACCCTCAAATGGTACTCCGAGAGGTATAAACTTTTGACTGAACCAAGTAATTAAAATGAACCCAGTGATTAATTAAGCGAAATGAATTAGTTAAGATGCGCTTCCGTTCATGAAATCGAAAATTCACGTTTTTCTACTTGTTGGCCCTTCTGTGCCATGTATTTTTGTAGCAAAATCCCAAGACATTTAGCAACCTGAACACGCTTTACAGCAATACCATTGATGATTACATTAAAATTCTCAGTGTTCTTATTATTACCGAAAATGGGTCACTTGGGAGACATTCCCATAGGAACGTGCACACAATTTTTCAAACTTTTCCATCCCATAATTCCCTAATCCGATCTTAACCAAACTTTGCATGTTTTCCTTTCAGACCCTAATCTATCATCTCTCAAAATGTGGACGATAAACATTTTCTTCCTTTTGGTAGCTGGAGCATTAGGGAGACATTGAAATGTCTCCCTAATGACCGATGTCTCCTAATGTTGAAAAATTTACCACAGAATGTCTCCCAAGTGACCTATTTGGAAATATTTAGCTTAGCCCTTATCCCAATAATCATAACGTTAGTTTTATCTAAATTAAGAACAAGTCTGTTGGCGTTTATCCATCACACAGCACATACCGTTGGTCAATTTTTCCTCTATTTCACCAACATGCGCTCCCTTAACCGTAAGCGTAGTGTCATCGGCATACATGTCAATAATTCCATCACCCACAGAACTAGGCAAGCTATTTACATAGCTAGAAAACAATAATGGGCCCAAAATAGATCTATGTGGGACTCCTGTTCTAACAACCAAAGTATTTGAGGTTGTACCTTTGAAACAAACACTTTGGGTGCGTTAATTAAGATAAGATCGAAACCATTTCAGAGATGTTTCGGAACAACCTAGCGAGCCAAGCTTAGTGAGTAATAGATCATGGTTAACCGTATCAAAGGCTTTTCTGAGATCAATAAATGCAACACCTATTAGTTTACCTTCATCAATATTCTTAGACCAATTATTGACAAGTTTAGCCAGAGCAGTGGTGGTCGAGTGAAGTGGCCTAAAACCAGATTGATTGTCATGTAAGAGATTGTTGTCACTAATAAAAAAAAATTGATTGTACACTGCTCGCTCAAACATTTTACTTAATATTGGCAACACTGAAATCGGTCTGTAATCATTTAGACATGATTGATCACCGGCTTTATGAAGCGGGAGAACCTTAGCACTTTTCCTTGCATTTGGAACATGACCTGTATAAAGGGACATATTATTAATGTACGTCAGAGATTTAACCACAATAGGGCAAGCTAATTTAAGGAGCCGAGCTTATGTTATCATTGCCTGTTGCTTTCTTGACATCCATTTTAGATGTTTCACCAATGACAAAATTATCAGACACTGGCTCAAGGTGAAAGGTCATCCCCGGTTCAATATCTGGCGTTACTTCATTTGTACTACCTGTATTCAACTCACAGGCTGGTACATTAGCAGTAATCTTAGCAACAGAAGAGACAAAGTGATTATTAAATGCAGTAGCAATAGCCAAAGGTGAGGTACAGTCTTCGTTATTAACCTTTACGGTGTTACAGTATCTGAGCTTGGGGTGATTTCCTTCAAGTATTTCCAGATTTACTAGACTACTTTACTATTCTGCGCATTCCCACGAAGAATACCACGAGAGTAATCAAT